CTATTTTATGTGTTCAAATTTATGGCTTTTAGAAGAAAGCCTTGGTGTGAAGTGTTTGAGTTCTCTCTTAAGGAAATGATGCATTCAGCCACAGCTGGCTATTTTCCATAGCTCTGGTAATGCTTTTGAGTGTCTGAGTATCCACATGCACAAGTAATTTTCATTCTTTAGAAAAAACCTTAATCTATAAAATAAAAAGACAAGGTAAAAGGCAGAGTATGTCCGTGCAGCAGCCAGCAGTAGTAAGTATAGTACACTAATCAACAACAAGCAGAAAATACTTGTGATTTTTGTGCAAAACTCCACTGTAGTAAGGTGTAGCTAGAGCAACTTATGGAGGATTGGTATGGATCTTGTCAGAAAGTGCTTCTCTCTGCAGTGTGCAGAAGTGTATGCTACAGAGTCTCAAAAGACTCTGCTTGCAGTGCTGGCTATACAAGAGCAGAGGAATACAGACCAAGTAACTTACGGACATGGGGCTTTCCAGCTTTAGCCAATATCCCTTTCATCCACAGCTGAATTCATCTGAGAATCTCCTTAAAAGCCATAATTATGGTTCAGGTGAGGCTCCAAAGGACTGACTTCTCTGTGGAGTAATTTGATGTGAGAACTTATGGCCACTGAAAGTTCTTATTTTACCTCAGCATTTCCACCAAATTCACGAACTTCCCCTTCCACTGAAGTTTGTGCATCTGATTGTGCTGAAGAAAGAGAAAATCTTACTGGTTGTGCAGTGCACTTTTAGAAACTGGATTCTACCTTTATGGTTTTATGTAATCACTGCACTTTTTAAGCTTCTGTTGGCTATTTGATGGCTAAGTTTGAATATGAAGCAATTAGGAATATCTCTAGCCATCTTCTTTATCTAAGTTGATTGTTATGATATTGAGTGGGTTATATTTAATTTCTTATGTGTGGGTGCCTCAACTTTCTCTGCTTGACACATTCTTTCAAATTCATTATTCTTTATATTAAGTGCTACATTACAATTTCTAAGCGTATTTATTGGCTGAGGGCAGGTACGTGAAAAGTAGAAGCTTTGCAATGAATCAGAAAAACTTCTGTGAATGTTGCATTTTGTTCCTTACCAAGGTTTTGCTTGATGCTAGAAGAAGGTCAGTCATTGCCTTCATCATGTAACAGCTGAATGTATTTTCTTACTTTAGCCTTTATGAGAAGGAGACTTGGTGGAGAGCCACTGTATGGAAGAAAGGAATATTTGATTGTTTCGTAAGAAGTTAATTCAGCTCACATGCACTGTCTGAGAGAGCCCTATACACAAATGTTTCACATGTTCCACAGTATATTTCTATGCCCACCACTTCTTTTAGTGTAGAATACCATGCAGATAAAATATTTAATTTTGGGGTACATTGCTGCAAACAGAACATCTGTGACAATGCTTGCTTTTTGCATTGCTCTTTCTCATGTTAAAGAAGGACCTAGTTATTAAAATAAGAATTTCAGAACTTTGATGAGTTTTCTTCTCCTTTTATGGCTTTTTTCTTATTTTATCCTAGTACTGAAGTATTATTTTGTCCAAGAAATGGAGCAAATAGAGCTACTCTTAATTAAAAATTACTGTACAGCTTAAAGCCTTAGGTCATTTCTTTTGAGAGAAAGAAGGGAGGAGAATCACATATTTCAGTGTGCAGTTGACACTGGGCTTCTGTATCACTGAGAAACAGGCCGAGTTTCCAAAGCTTTCCTTACAAAAAGGCCCTGACTGATGTATGAGCAATTAGCCCCCAAAACCATGATGATATTGTTTCAGTTTTTGGAGTTTTTTGTTTCTAACTGAAGATGGTAATTTTAATGAACACCGTACATGTTTTGGAAATATGTGTTAAGTACCTATGTTCATATTTATATATATATATATTTCCAAATATTGAAACCCACATCCCTAAACTAATAGGCAGATTGTTATAATTACAAATATGCAAACAGTGTCATCACTGTCAGAACTGCAGTATATATTTCTCATGGTTGTGATGCTTCTTAGGGATTTGCAGATCTAAAAATAGTATATATTAAGTGAGGCTTTTATTAAGAAATCTCTGGAGTTACTTAAAAACTGTCAAAAATGTTTTAATTCTAGTTGTTCAGATGGGATAGGCGGTATTATCAGTGTAATTCTTAAAATATTGCTAAAAAGATAGAACACTGAAAAAATCTGAAGTTATGCATTCTGTAGACTTTTCAGTCTGAACCAATAAAGCAACTTATTTGAGGCATGACTATGAGATTTTTTAAAAGTTTATTAACATTTGTGTGACTGAAATCTTACTAGTTCCTAATATTTTTCTGAGGTAGATGTGTAATGTAGAAAATCAGCAATGTACAGTGAAAAATACTGATGTGCACTCCAAGGTGACAAAAAATTTTAAACATGTGGTAGGCAGTATAGGAAAGTTTAGTCCTGTATTCTTTGTGCACTAGTGTCTGACCTTCACAATGTTCTTCAACCAAAGTCCCACTCACCTGCAGCTCAAGGCAAAGGCTGGTAGTGTTGTATGCTCCTCTGAAGGGAGGCTGGAGCTAAAATAAATAGGCAAGTTCAGGCACAACAGAACACAGCATTCACTACCTGATCCTCAGCTGGTAGTGTGAAACAGTAAAAGTCTCAGTTTTGTGCTACTGTCAGCATCACTGAGTAGGTTGCCTTACTCAAGAAATTAATTTTGTTTATCCAAGTAATTTCTTTTTTAGTTAGCAGTGTAGGTGTCTTCCAACACTCATTTGTCCTTCTACCTCCCACATCAGTACTATAGTAAGGTAGTTTGTTTATTTTTTAACCTTTATAAAATCCATATATGTCTATCTGTCCTGGAAGTCAAACTATATTTTAACCCCATGTTTATATTATCTTTGCCTAGGTTATTTTCAGTTGTTTGGTGATCTGACCAATGTGGTTTTGGAAAGTAATAGGATACTCAACGTTTTTTCCATTTAGCTGCTACTCCAGTGTTGCACACCTTCCCTTTGCATTAGACTTTGGCATCTGATCAATGCAAAGATAACATTTAGTATTTTATTATTTGCAGTGGCTGTCAAAAATCTTAGTTTCTGAATTCTCCCATCTGGCACTTTGATTTATTTAAACAATTTTGTATGGCTTTTAACTTTGGTGCAATATGGATTTATCTGTCTAGTCTTCGTATCTGTGTAATTTTCTAGTGCAAGGATTTCTTTCATATTGTTCCAAAGTGGTCAATTCTGTTTATTTATTTCTGTATTTTATATCTGTAATGCACTCTGATATTGGAAGAATCCTTTCTAAATCATCAGTACACTAACCATTTGGTGTTTCTGAACAATCATGTCAGCATTAAAAACAACTCTCCATAACATTTCTATCCAGTACTAAAATCATATTTTCATCCCAATAATAATAGTATAGCAGTGGGACACATAACAAAGACATTAGAGATTGCATGCTGACAGTAGGAGAATGAGAGATTGTTCCCAGCCTTGGGTTTTAGTCCAGTAAGAAAAGAAGGAGTAAAATAGCTTGGAAGGTTGAGTACTTAATAATTAAAGTATTAGTAAACAACATGCCTGGATTTCTGAAAAGAATGAAAATAAATGTGTGTACTTGCACAAACACACATTTAAAGTCACTTTCTTTCTAGCTCTTCTATTTACTTTCTTCTTTCAATCTCTTTCATCCTTTTTCATATAATATATGAAGGCTTTTTGGTGATAACTGCCAGCATTCCATTCCCAAACTCCACAACTTCACTGTCAGTGTCTTCAGCAGATTAGACTAATCTTGAAACTGGATGCACTGCTTTTTAAAACAGTGCTTTTTACTCTTCTCCAAAAGAGAATGTGCATTTTTGTTGTTGTTATTTTAGTAACCTTGAGATCTCTAAATTTATTTTGGAAATAATTAATCTTATTTTCTTTGAACTATATAATGCATTTGGACATTTTATCCTGAGTATCACATGGGTGCTAGTATTTTCAAAGTAATGAGATGCATAGGATCCATAGGTCCTTCTCCCACTAGCTGATTTTATGTCATCTTCCTTGAATTGGTAAATAGTAGTGATAAGTCCTTGATGCCTGTTATTGGATAGAGGCAAAGTCTTAGATATTCTCCTGCAAAAAAGAGACAGCACAAAGCCTGTGCCTTTCTAAAATCCCACAGAAGCTCTTAAGTTATATCTTGAATGTTGTATAGACCCATCATGGTCATCAGTTTACAAATGGATTTTGGTTTATGTGATTTAAGACTGCAAGAATGTTGTTTATAACCGCATCCATTATGTATGAGAATAACCAAAAAATGCACTGGACCAAATGTAGAAGTTGCTTTTGGGGGAAGAATTGACACTTGAGGATAACTGACATTTTAAAATGGGCTTGAGATTTGACTGGGTCTGCAACTAATGATTGTTACTGCCTTTATAAAGGCTTGACTTCCAGCTCTTTTTTAGTGTTGAATATTTTTTTAAAAATTCCTTTGAGCATCTCCTTCCTTTACCTCACTTTTATTATTCATATTAAGTGGCCTTGGTGCTTTCCAAATGACAGGTGTGTATGGTGAGGCTCCATGCATTTCTCTTGGTATGTCATCCTAATCAGCTCGAGCAGAGCTTTGACTTTCACTCTCTTTTGTGACAAAGTTAACAACAGACTGAAGGTCAGCTAACACACACTAGCTAATCCTTATCCAGCCTTGCTTTCTCATTCTAAATTGGATAAAAACCAGGGGACCAAATTATTCAGTTTTACTCAAGACAAAATCCCAGTGAGGCCAACTAAGCCTTGAGTGAGTGTGGGAGGTTGTGGCACTTTGCTTCTGAGTTACATCTGTTTATAAAGGTGATTCACTAATGAGGTGAAAAGAAATTCAAGGCACAGCTGTTTATTTACCTGAGCCTTGATGGAGCCTCTGTGTTCCTCATATTTTGCTGTTTCTGTCAGGTCTGTGGGCTTGTTTTGCTCAAATTAATTTTTTTTTCCTTTCTCTTTTTTTTTTTTTTCCCTAGACTGGCAGATAGCTACTCTGGCTTTGCTGTTGGGTGGTGCTGCCATTATTCTCATAGCTTTCCTGGTTGGGTTGATCTCGATCTGCGTGGGATCTCGGAGGCGGTTCTACAGACCAGTTGCAGTCATGCTCTTTGCTGCAGGTGAGCACTGGCACCACTAAAATGGTTTCATGAGAGCAGCTTCTCTTTTGTGAAGAAAACATGCCTTGTTCTGCATACTGATTCAGAGATGTTTGGTTTACTTCTGTGTTAACTCCGGTGAGATTTTGCAGGATATAGGTTCTCCAGAGCATAAATCACTTTTGCAGTTGCACTATTATTAGTTCATAAACAATTATTTATTTGCATTGTATTTATTGTATTATGAATTTCATGCAGCAGGGGAAACTACAGAGGATAAGTCTCAAAATACCCTTTTTAATCTGTGATTTTGTTCTGTTTGGTGTCCCCGTTTTTATTCTTCATGCAAAGCCACTTTTATCTTAATGTTTTTTCTTTTACAATTTTAAAATAGGCATATTAATGCCCAAAGATGAACCCTGGAAGCTCTAAATAGGATTATCTTGCAAGGTGTTTATATATGCCCCTGTGCCATAAGGAATTAATTTCATAGTGTCATCTTGCTTACTTAGTGATTAATTTAACAGGCTGTCACAGTGTAGTCCCTGCTTGGTTTAAAAAACATGAAAATGGAACAGTTTATATAAACTATCGCAAAATCTTAAGGGAGACCTGTGAATCTGAATTTCCTGTAAGACTGGTCCAGTGAGGTATAATTACAATATCAAATCATCTCCTTTTGTGCCTTTTGGTGTTCTGGGGCTTCATCAGCAAGGATGTCTCAGATTCTCCTGAGATTCACCAAGCATGGTCTGCCTTCATCCTGTCACTCATATCTGCATTGGAGCCAGCAGCTTAAGCCCCTTCTGATAGCCCATAATGAAGAGGATGACAGAACCTAGTCTTGGGGATGTATTAAAAAAAGCCACTTACAAGGATATGAAAGGATAAGAGCACAGAACTGCAGGGTGTTTGGGATGAAGCAGAGCTCCGGGGAAGGCTCCTGCTGCCCCCTGGTGTTAACCTTACCTTGATGGAGCCGCTGAATCCTTCAAGATGCACTTTTATGTGCTGAAGAGATATTTGTAGATTACATTTCCTTTTCGGAAATGAAAGCAACCTTGGATTAGATTCCCTCGATGGAAGTGGTCTGATTCTGTTCTATGTGTCACATTGGTTTGGTTGAATGAGTAAAGTACTGGTACCATTGTTTTAAAATTTAGTGTTAATTCTGAGATTTTAAAGCATGCTGGGCAGTTAACCTTGAAGAAAATGGCATTATTCAGTTTCTGTAGTGGTTTCTGTAGTGGTTTCGTATTTGGCTTTTGACTTTATTTCTCATAACATTGTGTAGTAACTTGGTAATTGTTCAACCATACACTGCCTGTCTTCCAACTTGCTCATTTAGTATGTAGTTAAGTTTGTACTAAGAAAAAAAAAACAACTTTCCCTAAGAAAAGATTTCCCCAAATTCTACTGTTTGTCTTAAAGTTTAATCTGTTCTCCTCTGCATAAAATTAGTTCTAGTCTTTACTACAAAAGGTTGGTGGTAGGGGGGGTTTAGTGCTTTGTTGCGTCTAAGAGGAAAATGTATTGGTCGTTTAGCCCAAATATTCTATATGACTCTGGTTAGGAGTCTACCAGCTGCCTCTGGAAAAATGACATAGTATGAATTGCCCAGAGACATTGAATGATCTGTGTGGGTGTCAGGTAGAAAATGTCTCTGAGTGGAAGAAAGGACAAAATGGAAAAGTGTGCTTTAGAGTCCAAACAGTTGGCTCCGGGATATTTTTTTCCTTCAAGGTTTGATTTTTTTTTTTTCCCCTCAGTTTCAGATTTCAGTTAGCAACTCTGTAGGTGAGGGAGAAGATTGACTGACTAGAACTGGAAGAGATGAGAAAGCAAATGGACAAAAAAACCCCTCAACCTAGACACTTCAGAATAAGCCAGCAAGTAATGAAGAGTTGCGAATGTATTTTCACAGAACTGTCAGTATGTATTTTAATGGTGAGAGGAACAGGAATACCTCAGGTAATGGAAAAATGTGGCATGCACAGAGAGGCAGTTGCAGGACGTTCTGGAGCCACCTTGGCTCAGACTGCTCTTTGGTCTAGTAGAAGTCACTAGCTTACGTACTTGCTGGGATATCTTAGTGCTCATGAACCAGACTGGCTCTGAAAACTGCATCCTCAAAGCACCATTTCACAAACATGTCAGTATAGGAGTTTCATGATGCACTTACCAGATAACTAAGCGCTAACCGAGTCTTAATTTTGGGTCAGAAAGAGAAAGTCTACCTGTTGGAAGTCTATAACAGGAAAAAAAAGTTTGCCTTCTGGTGCTTAACAAATGTAGCAATGTTTGGGAGAATAACCTGTTCAGGTTAGTAAGCTTTTAACACATTTCACAAGATGGTTTTATATGCAAACTAGGGAAACAGTGGCTAAGGGAAAGTATTACAGGTGACAGAGTAATAAAAAATGGTGGCAGATAATATTTGGAGAATATTTACAGGATATAGTTTTTAATTCTGACAGAGAGTCAGAGCACAGTCCAGCTGGATTGAATCCTGAGTTCTGTGGTATTACCTATTGTCATAATGATGTGGAAGATAGAATAAAAGTTTATTTTTTCAAATTTTACAGTGAAGCTAGAAAAAGTTGCAGATATATTTGAAGACAGAATTTGATTTTGAGAAGTTGATCAAATGGTCTGAAAGAGTAGGACTGACTTAAGTAGGATATAGTGCAAGTTGCTACAGGGCAGCAAAAAGAGTCATAGTATCAAAGAAATACTATTGTGAAAAATACTCTGTAGGTCATGTAGTCCAATCTCCTTGTTGAGGCAGAACAGTCACTAACAGCGACAGAATTGTCTGGACCAGTTTTGAAAAAATTCAAGCATGAAGATTACACAGCCTTTCCAAGCATGTTCTCCTTGACCCATACTACCCTCCTTATGATTTTTTTTTTTTGGCTGATGTCCATCCAGAATCTCTGAAACTGAGATTTGTGTCCATTTTCATTATTGCCAGGTTGCTTGATAATAAAGAAGACAGATTTTTTTTTCTGTCACTGCTGCAGCTACATTTTCTGGTAATCTTTGAAAGTGCAACACCTAATAGTTATTAAAGAAGTGCTTTACTCATGTGAAATTATCAGGAGGAATGACAGGAATGGTGTAGAGAACAGAAGTGCAGAACTTACGAGCCAGAACCACCACTTTCATAATTACAGATCAATTAGAAAACCGCACCATAAGAGTGTGTGTGGGGGGGGGGATTGATATCAAAAGTGTTATAGTCAAACATTTGAACAAGGAAAAAAAAGATGACTGAAATTATATTTTCCTAGTTTTAAAGCATTTGTTTAGACTTCTGCATGTTTAGTGCAGTGAGAACATATAATTGCTTATATTTCATGTAAATGGAATAAAACTAGTATTCCTGTTCCCATATTGCAAGCATCATAGTGCTAGTCATAAAAATGGGTCTATATTTGAAGTGAGCAATCCAGTTTGAGATGATTAGCCTTTCTCGAATAGCATTCGAGTAGCAGATTTTTTAAGATTTCCTTTGCAACCCGTTGTTTCTACGGAAAAAGACTAGTGCTTCTGAAGAGAGTTTGTACACTCTTCCCTAAAGCAGGCCAACATAGCATGGAGTTCCTTTAAATTCTTTAGAAGCAGGTCAGTAGTTGCAGGCGTTGGTTTCAACATCTTTTTGGGTCATACTGGTCATTTCTCATAACTTCACTGCCTGTTGTTTCTTGCTTACACAGCTCCCTTCCTGCTCTACAGGGAAAAACAATGACAGAAGGCAAAATTAGTGCAAAGTGATGACAGTGCTCTGTAGTGTGGCTGTCCCACCAGCCAATTGCTGCCAGCACTTCCTTTGAGTTTTGCAATGGTGTAGCTGGACCAGTAGTAGCAAAAGCAGGAACTATAAAAATGTCAAAAACCCCTTTTGTGAGTGTTGCTGCTTTAGCAGCATGTTCCTCTTCCAAGAGAATCACTTTTTTGTTGTGTTTTGACAAGTCCAATCTGTAGATTGAAGTTAAGCATACTTCATATGTTACGCTGGGGAAGGTGGAGAGTTGCCTTGGTTTGCACTTGACACAGACACAGACGGAGCAGTTTCTGTATTGACTCAGCAGAGATACTGCATCCCAGTTCAGGAAGTCACTAAAAAAAGTTGTTTGTTTCCATACATCTTTGGAAATCCTTATTGACTTTGAATGGTCTTAAAGATGTGTTGAAAGCTGAGCATATGTTGAGGTGCTTTTGGGTATAGTGATGCTGTCATTATACAGAATTGGAATGCATAATCTTTTCATACGAGTAGTTGCTTTCTCTAGTGTATCCTGGCAAAGTTTCTCCAGTGTTGCGCAGTATTTTGCTAGCTGACAGACAAAAAAATTATATTAAAATGGAATAACATAAAGTAATACTTCAATAACTGTAGAATTAAAAAAAAATCCTGTGGATTTTGGTATCCCCATCAGAAAATCCACTAAGCAAACATTATTCAGGTTGTTGGTCTCGAGTAAGAGTCCAAAGATTAGTCTGTAGGCTAAGACGGGGAGAGCTCGAATTTCCAATGAGTTTTTTATGAAGTGTTATAGAGGGTCTAATGAACATGGGAAATCATCTCCCCATACGAGTCCTGTCCATAGGACAGGTGAGCTTCAGTCTCCAGGGCTAATGAAAGGAGCCAGTTTGACAACACTGAAGATGCATGTGGGAGTGAGAAGGCAAATGAGAGATTTTGAGTGTGCAAGGTGTTCGAGCAGTGGGAGAATATAATTACTGCTTTTTTATTTTCCTGTAATTTCTCAGTGTAATTTCAGAACAGTTTCTGTGGTCCAAAGTAGTCTTCCTCCCTTTTATCCACTGGCATTTTATATTGGCACTGGCTTTGTAACACTCCTCAAGTTGCATCTGTTCCTCTTACAACACCTAATAAACTGTAAAAAATGATCTAGGAAATGTTAAAGAAAGTAGTCATTATGGCATTATATGGCATACCACTGAACTTTGTCATCAGAGCATGCATCAGGCCTGCAAGTACTTTAAGCACATGCTTAGTCGTGTGTGTATTCCCGGCCTGGCTGTAGACAGGGCCTGGGGTGTTTTGCAGGGATGGTTATGTGCTGAAGTCTTTAAAATTGCTACTGTTAAATGATGGAAGGGAGCACTGTGATGGGACATATCATGTATTTGAGGGGTAAAAGGGATGATTCCTGTGATGTTTGATCTTTTGTGGGTGGCAGAACAAGAGGCCTGAAGAATCACTACATCTTACAGCTTGTTCTTGTCTTCAGAACCAGTGTGGCTTTCACCTACTCACCTTGTAAACTGTTGTCCCAATATTCTGTTAACAGTGAGTCGGAATTTAAAAGAGAATGGATGCCCGTGAAAATGAGATAATCTTATGAAAATCAAGGTTCTTCGTCTTTGTATTTTTCAAGTTACTGTATGTGGGGTTTTTTAACGTAGCACAATAATTAACAGCTTTGCTGAATTCCCCTGCAAACGTGTGGATCAGGCTGCAGCAGATCTGGCCTCTGAGACAGTGCTGTAGGAAGTAATGATTTTGAAGGTTTTTTATTGCCTTGGATTTTATCTATTTTATTAGCTTTTTTTCATCACAAAACATTTCTGACCCACCCCCTAAATCTGTAATATAAGGCAGTGTTTTGCCAGTTTGAAGTTTAGTGACTGATCAAACTTTATAGATTCCTTGGTATTCTGTGTGACAACATCCTTAATTCTGATTATACTATACAGTAATGCATATGAAATATGTAATTCAGTGAATGTCTACTGAGCATAAATATGTATCACCTACTACAGTGAATTATTTCTAGGCTAAGTAAATTATTTGATTCTCAGCTATATTTCTTAATATTCGTTTATTCTTGTGTCTCGTTTTGACTTATTTATAATGGCAATAGAACAAGTTTTGCTATTATGGAAAGAATAATGACTGCAAACTAAAACAGAGAGACAGAAAGGAATACAGACAATATTCCTTTTGCTGTTTATTTTGTGGACATTTGAAGGATTGTCATTTTACCATAGCAGTAACATTTGTTCATCAACGAGGGAATATGGAAAAGCTGCTGTGTTGCCTGTGAGCGAAAGGAAGGTAATTCAAAAAGAACAGTACTTCCAAGCTAAAAACTCACCAGGAGCATTTTATATGTTAATTTCAGATATGTCATGTTTTCCTTGTTTTAGGGAAACACATTAAGGCTTCTTTTGACATTTGTATTATTTTTTCTCTTCCAGTTGTTCTCCAGGTCTGCAGCTTAGTCCTTTACCCGATCAAGTTCATCGAAACGGTCAGCTTGAAAATATACCATGAGTTCAACTGGGGCTATGGCCTGGCATGGGGTGCAACTATATTTTCATTTGGGGGTGCCATTCTTTATTGCCTGAACCCTAAGAACTATGAAGACTATTACTAGAATCATTTAATGAGAAGAAAAATAATAAAAAAAAAGGATTACCCCATCTTTTCTAGCTCACAGTTTTTTTAGAACACTCGTGGAGCACCAAACAGTCTGCTCTGTTGATAAAATAGCCTTTGCCTTTTGGGTGTGAACACTGTAACCAGCTTTTACAACCATTTAAAAGAACTGCAAACACTAGGATTACTGATCTTACGCAGGCAGATGCTGCGAGCTGCTGATACGTAAGCTTCATTTTTCCTGACAACAAGCAAAAGGATCTACGTGACACAGCGTTCATTGTGAGAAAACTAGTTGGAATGAGAATGCAATGCCAGCATCTGCCATTGCCTTCAGGGGAGCAGCTGGTATAGGCTCCATTTAGAAGTTTCCCTGTATCATAGAGGATTCAGAGGTCTGATAAGCAGGCAGTGGCATCTTGTACAATAGGCTGTGTTGGTCCCTTGTTACTTGCTCGAAAACACTCTTAAGAAATTAGTTTGCAAGTGACTGTGTTGAGGGAAGTGAATGTAACTGGTTAATGACTTGTCTAATATCTGCATTCAACAGTCTTCTGGGAGAATAATAAAAAAAAAAAAGGAAAACCCAAACAAGCCACCAACCCGCACAGGATTTCATGAATTCGACATCACCGTGCCAGCTGTAGCAGATTGTTGAAGGAAGTCCAAACCAGACTTCTGACTGTGTAGTTGGAAGTTGTCTCAGCTCTTGAGTATTTTGCTGGAGGGGTGGAGGTAAGGGGGAGTAGGAAAAGACCTGGTCTGTCCCTCAGGCATCTGAAAGGTATGAATGAATTGCAGTTGTCCTAAGCAACCATTTAACTTCCAAACATTGTCATGAAAAGAATGCATATGGAACAAGTTCAGTTATATTTTTGAAAGGTATTTGTTAGTATAAATGAATATATATAATGCAGATATTTATGCAGAGGGAGAGAGACAATTTGTCTTAAAATTATAATATGAGCTGTGATGCAGTGGTTAAAATACTAACATTGTACACATTCTGGAAAGTCTTGGATTGATACCCCCAATTTTGGTTGGTGTTACAAAATAAACATAAAATGGTTTGTCTTCTGTATATGCCCTTGTACAGACTCTGTGTTATGGGAAATGCTTAAAAGTTCACATCAAGTTAAGGTAGAACCGGACAAAAAAAAACTTCTTGCTATTCCATGTGTAATTTAATACTTACTAAAAATTCTTTTCTAAGCCTGTTGCCAATACAAAAACTGCCATTTTTTAAAAGTCTAGTTAGGTTCTGAATGTCTCTGATCATCAAGAATACAGCCGAGAATCCATCATGTCCATATGAAAACATTAGCACTTCAGGAGGTAATCTCTTGTTTTTAAAAGCTGAATTTATAATGGACTGTCTGATGATTATGTACATCCGATTATTCCTTGCTTAGTATGTTTCCCACTTAAAACATCCAGAGACTGTACTCATGAAATGAAATAGAAGATAAAGTTGGGAGAACTTTCACATATATTTAATCTGCATCACTTTTATTTTTGTTTACAATTTGCTTATTTGGATATTTTCAATTAATTATGAGCATATTTTTATACAATTGTAATCTTCAGAAATAACTATTTTTTTTAATGGAGAAAATTAAAATATATTCTATGTGGACCTCTGCACAAGCAGATATGCTGGGGCTGCACATCCACCTCTGCACAAATGGTTTTGCTGGTTCCATGGAAAAGACTCCTGGATTCCTGGATGTTAAGATCGCATCGATAGTGTTCATGCTATGCCACCATTTACAGGGCACTGAGGTTCTGCAGTGACTGTGGGACCACAGGGCTGCCTTTAGGAGGTTGTTGTGTGAGTATTGCTGACGTATGAAGAAGGTTTATAAAACTCTGGGGCTCTCTGGAGTTCGGTCTTTTACTACCGTGGCAGCATATTCCATATCGGCAGTCTTTGCAGGACCAGTGGTGATTAATTAGATTAGATGGAGCAAAATGATAGCTTGACATGGAAGGGATTGTGTGGCAATGCCTGGAGAACAAAAAGGAGAAGAAAAATTATGTCCAGTTGTTTCACAGGCACCAGAGAGCGTTTGTAACTCTGCTTTTTTTCCTGAGACTGACTTAAGGCAGATATTCAGTATATAGTTAACTCTGTATCTTGCTGAACAGCTGTGTAGTTCTGCTTTTATTTAGCAGCATGGAGAACATTGTAGTTTGGCATGGGAATTAGGTTAGCGTAGAGAAGCCCACTGTGAGAAGACGTCTGTACCTTTCTAAGAGGATGGTGTTTTGGTGCTGACAATGAGTGGCACTTGGTCTGTGCTGACAAGAAGGTACAATGCTGAACCCATATCTTATCCACTAATTTATCAAATTATTTTTCTGTATGTAGAGTTTGAGTGAAAGCAACTGTCAGGCCTAAGGCAAATGCAAATGAACGGCATGTGCTCTGCAAGTCACCGGCTGTTAATGTGAAAGGTGTTCAGGCAAAACAATTTACAAACATGAATGCCTAAAGACAAAGTTCTTTATTCTTATTTGAGTCAGAAGTTTGATTTTTCAGTTTCAACATGTGCTTTTCCTCTTGAAGATGGTGCAATCTATCAGGACACACCTCTCAGACTCCTCAAGCCCTTTGTGTTTGGGCATCTAGTAAGTGGACATAGGTACCTACCTTTAGCTTAGGTTCCTACTGCAGTGGCTTTATTTCCCCTTTACCATTGCAAATTTCAGCAAGCATTCTGTTTCTCAGCACTGAACTAAAAGCAAATACAACTTTATGCTGATTTTTTTATTTTAGCCACAAAAATGATGCATATCTGTGTCTTGAGTGTACGTATGACAAATTAATAATTTTGTATGTTGTGCTTGTCATGTCACCATTATTTCAGTTGTTGGACTTTATCTCACTGGCAAAATGATTCTCTCCCACAACAAATCCATTTTTTTTCTTCCAAATATATATGAATAAATATATATATAGCAAATTTGCAAGCAGGGCTAGTTATTTGTATTTTTTAAGCTTAAAGTATACCGTCCGGTGCTGACAAATACCTGGCACCTCTTCTGGATTTCTTGCACAACTTCGTTTAGCTTTTGTAAATTTTAAAAACAAATATAGAGAGACCTATGTGTTTGAAATATAAATGATATATATGGATTAGCATGTAACTGTATATTATTAAACATGCAATGAACTGACTGGCAAGTGAAGTCTAATCTTATGGCTAGCAATGTAATTTATTCAGACTGTATTTTTGTACAGCGCAGTGCACACTAACCTATTGCCTCTGTGTCCTCTATAATGCCTAAAACTGTGCCTAGAAATGTCATTTATGTCTTTCAAGGAAAAAGAAAATTACTAAATGCTTCATGTTGTTGATAGTATTGGTTTTTCTGATGTTGTTCTTTATTTATTTTTGAGAAGTGTATGGTATGTTTATTAAATGAATCCATCACAATACGGTTCGTTTTAAATGGTCATTGTTAGCAGGGAAAGATGGATGTTTTTCTATCTGAACTTTTAAGTTTGCAGTTTTATTACCATTTCTGCATTTCACGATTTTTGTAGCTTACATGAAGTTTTATGTGAAAAAGTAACTGAAATAAAAAAAAAAAAAATTGTTACACTAACAAAATGTGCCTGTTTTGCTCTGAGTAGTTTGGTTTCCTGTTGGGCAGGCTGAGAAGGAACAGTCTTCTTAGGCTAATGAATATGCCTGGTATTCAGTTTTTCCATGCTAAAGGAGTCTTATCAAAATACACAGTGGGGAGAGAGGGAGAGATGGAGGGGTTTCACTGGCAAGATCCTGCATCTCACCTGGCCATACAGCAGTAGCACAGAGCAGGTTTCTGAGTGTCACAGAGCCCATACTGCCTTTATAAAAATGTAAGTATTGTAATATCAGAAACCCATGTTTTTAATGTAAAAACCAAGACTATGTGTTGAAATGGGCCTTTATACTGAGCACCTTGTTCCAGTGGGGGAATGTATTAATTTTATACAGGTTTCTTTTTCACATTTCCAATAATTAGTACTTTTTTTTCTATTTTGATTCTGAAACCTGGGTTACTTTTCATCCTGAAAAAAAAACCAAACCTAGAAAAACAGGTGCTATTTTTGAATCAGAAATGTGGTGTTTCAAAAATGGAAAAGCATGTTTAAAATACTAAAGACATGATACTGTGTTTTTTCTACTGTTGGGTAATGCACTGTCATCCCCTGCATGGCTGGATACCTCTCAAGTAGGCAGGCAGCAGCCTGAGGCTGCCAGCAGAAAGCAATAGGAGAAGGGGAGGCAAAATCCTTGGTTGGCTTCAGTGGACTATTGCAGTGAGCAAGTGCTGAGCGAATACAGGCACAAGGGTGGGGTACACAGAGTGGAAATCAAGTGATGGAAAAGGAATTCAGAGCAGGAAGCAAGCATGATGGGCGTGGACAAGGATGGGAGGTGTCTGAAACTTTGTTTTCTTTTGAAATGTAAGTGAACTGAGGGAGGGTGTTCATAGGGAACTATGAATCCACAGTCACTGGGAGTGAGGGAGCAAGCTGGAGGTGATGGAAGGCTTGTTTCTTGACATCTGCATCAAATTCTTGTAGTTGTGGCTTTAGAGTGAACAGTGCCCAAGGGTTTGACCTTGCCTTAATGCCCGGATTTATCTGTGTTCCTACATGTTGGCACAAGGGGGGCCCACTGGCTTCAGGGGAAGAAATGAAGCATAGGGTGAGGGTGCCTTGCTCAAACCTTGTCTATCCAAACATACTGAATGATAGGAACGCTGGCTGGACAAGCCCTGGCAAACCCTCCGGGCACCAAAGATGCCTCAGCAATCTTGGCAGTCTTGAGTGGCATCTTACAATGTGTTTGGCATCCACCACAAAAGGAAGTCTGCACTCTGCTGCTGAACCAGATGAAGTGTTTCTGGATGCATGGCATGTTGTAAACAAGAGGAAAATGTGTGAAAGATGGTGTACAAGCCCAAGTTTGCTGCTGCTGAAATGCAGTTTGAACAGGAGCAAGCCTCAGAGCACTGGATGGAAGCAAATGGTTTGAGGTCTGCAAGTGATGAAAACTCCAGTGTACAAACTTGGGCAAATATAGCCAAAGTAAGACTTTTTAGGACTTTACAAAGTCTTGTTAAGTTGATATTTTGGGGTTTTTGTCTGTGGAGAAGAGTTGCTTGTTTCTGTACCTTTCTGTTGTTTTAGTGACTTCTTGGCACTCTCTTCATTGGAAGCAGTGGGCTTTTCTATCAGACAATAGGTTTGTAGAGGACTTTAAATCTTCTAGGCATCTAGAAAGCTGAGTGTTTGTCTGGAATTTGATGCAACAAGCACTGCAACCTACAGAAAGGCTGAGTTTTGTGATTTTTTTCTTTTGTTCAGTTAATACTTACACCAAGTTCTTTAAATTGTGAGGAGAAACACTGGATGCAGACAACTAGAACAACAGTAGTTCAGTGTTTCATTAAGAGCATGGTTTGTACATAATTCCCCCACAACAAACCAAAGGGTTCTGCAATCCAGTAGGCCATTGCCCGCTCTTAGAGCGACTGGTTTGATCATCATATAGAAAGCTCATCATTTCTATGAGGAATATATACATTGAAAGTGAGTGAAATACCAGTATTCAACTAAGTACAGAACTGTAATAACAGAATCACAAAAGCTATTACTTATTTTGCTCCTGCCTGCCTTTCTCACTCCATTTTCGTTTTTTTTCAGACCCATATCATACTATTTCAGAATTACACAGAATCACAGAATGGGTCAGGTTGGAAAGGATCACAGTGGATCATCTCATCCAACCTACCTGCTCAAGCAGGGTCATCCCAGAGCACATTCCCCACAGGATAGCGTCCAGATGGTTCTGGAATATCTCCAGTGAGGGAAACTCCACAGCCTCTCTGGGCAACCTGTTTTAGTGCTTGGTCACTGCAGAACAAAGAAGTTCTTCCTCATTTTCCAGTGGAACTTCCTGGGCATCAGTTTCTGCCCATTGCCTCTTGTCCTGTTGCTTGGCATCATCAAGCAGAGCCTGGTCCATGTTCTGACAACCCCCTTCAAATGCTTGTATATGACCTCTCAGTGTCTCTTCTCGAGGCTGAACAGGCCCAGCTCCCTCAGCCTTTTCTCATAAGAGAGATGCTCCAGTCCCTTAATAATCTTTGTCACCCTCCAATGGACCTGCTCCTGGAGCTCCATGTCCCTCTTGTACTGAGGAGCCCAGAACTGGACACAGCACTCCAGATGTGTCCTGACAATAGTGAGTTATAAGCTGATACGTAAATGAATGAATATATTAGGCCTGCCACTGCAAGAAAATATCTAAATGGACACAGACAGCAGGTGTTAATGGTGGACAGGATCCAGGGACATGTTCTTGATGGGTTCATCTTGGTGGAAGCAGCACATCCCAGGACAAAAGGAATGGTCACTTCCATGTTTCAGGAGCGGTATCTGATAGGTTTGGTTCCTGACTGCACTGCAGATTCTCTGCCTTGCAGCCTCCTCACCCTCTCTCCTATGAGAGGGAATGTAATAATTCAGCACCTTCCTGTCATAGATGCTGAGTAGTGATATGATTTAAAAACCTGGAGTGTGAGCATTGGGACAGGCAGCTGAACTGTTTTGTGTATCTAATCATGGTTACTGTAGTGGTACCATGTATATTTTGTCACACTGGAGAGGCTGTACAACGGGGCAGCAGGGAGAGGAGTTGACTGCTTACATTTTGCACTTTGGAGGGGATCCAATCCTCTACTGAAAGGAGACTGCCCTTCCCTGCAATAGACCAAGCATAGTTGACATGGATCAAGTTTTGGAGTTCAGAGTAAAATGAACAGAAAGTACAAGTGAGCATTAAATAGGGAGCCCACTGTCTCAAGTCAAGGTGAGAGACACCTGGGAGAAGTAAGTGACCTTCCTACTTGCAGAAGAAACACTCCCAGGGCCAAGCTTCAAGGGTGACAAACACCGCAGGACACACAAATTATCTGTACTGTTTCAATTCCCCAGGAGATGCTGGACTGCAAAGCAACTTTGGAGGCTTTTGTGAGATCAAACCCTGAACTCATTCCCACTGAATGTCCACTTCCTGTGATGCTTTTACCCTGGTTGGTGCCTTTGGTCACTATGCACCTTCTGAGTATCTCTCTGTGCTGTACTGTGCATCATAGCTAAAACCTGTCCTGAAGGCAATGTGGGCCACTGGCACTAAAGCTGGGCAGGGCACAGAGGCATTTGGGATGCTCCTTAGTCCTACCACGGATCAGGATTAGATGCAGACAACTGTGTCTTGGTGTGAATATGAAAGTAGCTGTAACTGAGATAAATCATAACGGTACAGTGGGGTACAAAAGAATTTCTGCAATAGCAGAGAAGCCTTGGTATATAATAATGATGAATGGATTAATAAATACCCTCCTAAATAACAGGAGTATTTTCTGACTCAGAGCTGCTGTGAGCCTAAAATACTTACCTTTGTCTCCAAGTTGCTGTCACTGGAGACAAAACCTTAAATTCTTTTCCTTGAGAACAAGTCATGTTTTTTTCAGGAAATTTAATAATATTAGAATTATTTAAAATACTCAAATGTATTCAGGTTGTGAAGCTTCAACTCTATTGAAATAATTTCTTAGCTGTAACGTCTGTTTTGGGTTTTGGTTTCTTTTTTTGCCTTTCTACTGCTTATCTATTTTTCACATCAATAGGAAAAAGAAAGCTAAAACATTTGAGCCAGTTGGAAGTTAAGAGAATAGGAGGGCAGGCTGAACTTTATAGTTATCTTGGAATAACAGGACTGTGGGGCGACTAATTTCAGCTCTGTGAGCAGGTAGGTCTGTAATGGAAATGTCTGAAAAAAGTGAAATGAATAGCAACTGAGAAATAATGCCTCTCTTTCCTAAACACGCACACATTTTGTTTCTATCTGTTCCCATTTCTTCCCTTGATGCTACAAGAAAAGGAACATTTATTTCAGGATTTGTCCTGGTTATCTTTTGAAGTAAGTATGCTTGCTGTAAAGCTATATAACAAAGTAGTTGCTAAACTAATATCAGGAATTTCTAATGGAAATGTTTAGAATACCTAATTTCCAACGCCTAATTGGAAACAAATTATTACATCAATAAAATTTTCTTGAGGGGAAGCCAAAAGGGATTCATGTAATGAAATAGAAAGTTTTAGCTGGAGAAAATTATTTTCACTGTGGTACATCTGAAAAGCTTTGCAGATGTTGGTTTAAAAGAAACACTATTGAGTTATTCTGAATCTTTTAACACATGGACATTTTGACATGAAATATCATGCAACTTGCAAAAGGAACAGGCAAAGATATTCTGAGAAGCATAAGTGTGAACAGATTGTGCTCCATTTGTTTGAAAACAACCCTTACCTGATGAAAATGCAATGCCATTATACTCCCTACCAAACATCTTGTAATTTTAGCACTCTTATTTTTATGGCTGTTTGTAAAGCTGTGGGAGTGTGACAACATGGTGGTTCAGACCTCAGGTTTTAAAATGCCAGTTCTCCTGGGAACCAGAGATGCAAATCCAAACTACCTCAGCTCATCCCTTCATCCTGGCAAAGTGGATTTGATGTTCTTTGCAGCTTGTGATTTGGACAA